AGCGCTTCCGTTTGCTACGAGTCCTCGTTGAAGCAGATGGTTGTTGGACAGGCGACAGAGTTGAGTTCTAATTTCAAGGTAACTCACTCGATGATACTCAACTCGTATCGTGGAGACTTCCAGACGCGCCCTGAGGTAAGTCAACTGTCACCGCAGTGCGCGCACGTCATTTGGCCTAGCGCATTGCAAAACTGCGATATTAAGCTGGTGCTTATGAAGCTGCCTTCACTACCTGTCTGCTACCCGATTGCACATAGGAACTCATCAACCGGAGCTACTTATTTGCCTGCGGTGACCAGTTTGAGCGGATTTGGAAACAGAGAGCTCAACGTTTGCATGAAAACCTGCTTACAACGACTCTATTTGAGGCTGTTTCTGCCGCCACCGACTCGACCTCCTCCTCCTGCTCGCCGTGTATCCAGGCAAGAAGTGGCAACAGAATACCTGTCGCCAGCGAGGCAGACGCAATGATTCCAGCCTTGTACACCCTAGTCCGGTGTCCGGGTTATTCGCCGCACTCTGCAGCGGCAACGGCGGCGGCGGCGGCGACGACGACGGCAGCAGCAGCAACGGCTGCTTCAGCTCACGCCACCTGCATTTTGGAGGTGTCGCGGTATTATCAGGTGCGTTTGACACTGCCAGTTATCAAGGGTGCAACAAGTGTCTGACTGGCATCAGTGAGCATAGATTGAAGTGCAGTGTCGTTGAGGCTGATTAATGTCATGCATGCGTACGTGTTTGAAATGAGAGATCTGCGCGAGGAAGCATGTGTTTATGTGAGCCCTTTAACATTGCCAGATGTGTTGCCGTTGGCGCCAACTTACGCAAAAGTACGCTGATGTGGCAGCTAGACAACCTGAGCACATTCTGCACAAGGTCTTTCCTGCCGGTCAAATTGTGCTGTTCCAACTTTCTTCCGCCGATTGCTGTCGTGCCTTAGAATCGCCCAGGAGGAGAGATGGTGGCTCAAAGTACGCTCCGAAGTGGATCACTATGGGCGTTGTCCTGAGCCTGCATCCAAGAAAAGGCCCATTCTGTGTCAGAGATGAAGTGGAAGTAAGTGCTTGCCCTGCTGCACCGTGGTCTCTTGAGGTGGCTTACATTCACGTGTTGTTAGTCGCGGGATATTCTGTTGGCTTAGTATAGTAAGGTGGCATAATTGGGTGCTAGTGACTAGACAAGAGCAACATGGAGGTTACTTGGGTGGCTGCACGACACAAGTAACTTGCCCCTTCTCCATATTCCTTGTTGTTGTAGCTGAGGCTCTTCACGTGGGAGCTTGGGCCTCAAGCAATCGCCACTGACGCAGCTGCGATTGATGGTAGCCAGAATGGGGATGAGGAGGAGAAGGCAGAGAAGGATGAAGAGGAAGAGACGATTCTGCGACGCATGGGATATAAGCATGGGGTAAATTGTGTTCCCTGTGGTGCTAGGTTAAATGTGCATTTGGGAGTTTCAAGTGAATTGTGTTGCTGTCCAACGTAGTCAGAGGGTTGTCAGTAATACATGACGATGTTGTGAGGGCACAGTGTGTATTGGATTTTAGACGAGTCGTGAGACTGCGTTTACTCCGTTTCCACCGCAACTGATGCCGCATTTCTGCCCCGAGGTAAGATCTCGCCGCGTGTTGTGCCTGTTGCTGTGTGAGCAAGATGGGCTTGAAACCTGCTTGTCTTGTGATTGTAGTCCGAAGTGGAGAGCAGGGTGCGTCTGGCATGTCAGGTAACTGTGCCCTTGACTGCGGTGCTGGCAGTGCTTCCCACGCGTGTGCCAGGGAGCAAGAGGAGTGGCTTCGCCCGGACCCTCTTCAACCAGTCACTGCGCTACAGTTGCAATCGGAGACAGTCTGATGTGGAGAGAATGAAGGCGAGGGTGGAGGTAACGGAAGAGGAGCAGCCGTGGAAGGGAAGCAAGCTAGGCACCTTCATGGCGGCCAACAAGGCACTGTTTGAATGTGCTAAAAGGCATCAATGTGGCGAATTGGACGCAGCTCCGTTTTGGCACCGCCTCGGTGTGAAGGTAGGTCCTATTCTCCTCCTTATCCTCCTCCTCCTCCTTATCCTCCTCCTCGTCGTCGTCGTCATAGTCATCGACAAGATTAGTGTCTTGTGCCAGGTTCTGCCACCAAACACCGTGTTAACGCACAACAGGTTCTAGGCCACTTCTTCATCATCATTAGCATCCACTCGCACGCACTGATTATGCGTCTTGTGCACATACCAGTAGTGATATCTGAACTGTCATGCTGCATTCATCTTTCAGCACACGAAAGCGGCTAAGTTGATAAAACTCACGGAAGAATTAAGTGCTCCAGACATTCCTCTTGGTCGTCATTGTGGTGACCTCGTTGGTCACATGGGCCTTGTCCACAGAAACGTTCG